GTTAAAGGCATCACACTTCCACTTACCACTAATTTTATAACAATGTCCTGAATATTGATAACAGTGGGCATGCTAATTGCAAGAGGGTTGGCTTTGGTGTTAGAGCCACGTTACTTCCCAAAGGAACCCTCTGCACATATCTCACCCCTCGCCACCACTGTCTTGACAGATCTTTTTATTCATTTTCTCTTTTGACTTCTGTTTTCTAAAACCTCTGTTTATTGGAGAAAATTAACTATGGGCAATTACAATTTTTCTGCACTTTCTTGTGTTTTTTTCTGCCTATAGTGGATTTCAGAGAGGGTCCAACTATGTAGTTTATTTGAGCCACGTTTTTGTGTGATGGCTTTCCACATTTGGTGATATTCGTAAGATTTTATGCAAAGTAAGATCCAAACATGCATACAATCTGTTCCTGGGAAGAATTTCTGCCATGATTACCTTTCTCTTTTTTCAATACTACAGAATTTACCGAAAGCCTCAGAAACTTGAATGTTCTTTTATTCCTATCACTTCAGTTTAGATTTCAAGGCAATCTTACAAGCTCTAATTTCTTTTTTCCATTGAAAAGGGCTAATCACTGCCTCAACCTCTCTTTCTCTATCATCTATCTGTCTATCTGTCTATCTATCTATCTATCTATCTATCTATCATCTATCATCTATCATCCATCTATCCAAATTGAGGTAGGTAACTTATTTGGTTAAAAATAAAAAATATACTTTATTAAAGATTATTTTATTTTATTTTGTAAGCAATCTCCACACTCAACGTGGGGCCCAAACTCACCACCTTGACATCAAGAGTCACGTGCTTTCCCAACTGAGGCAGCTGGGCTCCCCAGTAATGCAATATTCTCATTCAGTTAAGCACTTCTTACATATATTCTATTTTTGAAGAAAAAATTTGAATGCACAAGCAGCTCAGAGAAGGGATCACAATACAGTGAAATTAATTAATGTTTCTGGGAGGCTTGTGAACTATTTCAATAAATTACTCATTTAATTTAAATAATGCCATAATAATCATAAGCTAGCCAATATCCAACTGAGTAGAAACCTGTAAATAACTGTTAGAATACCAAAAGGGTATTTTTAAACCCTCAAACAAGAGAGAAATTTAACTTTGTTAAGTGTAAAAACCCACTTTGCCAATTTCAAAAGACACAGTTTTAATGCCCTGTGGACACTGTGAGGGCATTACCTACTAGAAAAGAAAACAAAACTTTCATTGAGAACAAATGTCAACAGAGAAACAATTTACTCATGTGCTTATCTCAGTGGGCAAATGTCAGCAAAGTTACTCACAATAAATATGCTTATCTCAAAACACTCTGGCCGCTTTCTCAGTGAATGTAATAAAAGCATTTTGGTTAAGAAAATGTTTTATTATACAGAAATATCCTGCACAGAATAGGACATTTAGTATCTGATTGAGTTGAAGAAACTAACACTTGCTATTATTACAATCAACCACCTCCCCAGCACTACCCTGATTCTAAACATTGTCAATTCTCTCCCTGTTTCTTGCATTTCTCGTCTGATTTTCTTCTCTTCACAAAATTTGTTAAAATCTGTGCTTCAACAGTGACAACCTAGACTCCCATCTTCTGATCTGTTTTGCAAACCATTATATATTTATTTCAGTGTTAAGAAACTAATATATGTTAAGTTCCTACTCTACTAGGTTCAATCAGAACTTTTTATAAAGGATGGACTTTAAAATCAATAAGGAGCAAGGGCCACCTGGGTGGTTCAATCAGTTGAGCATCGGACTTAGGCTCAAGTCAGGATCTCACAGCTCCTGAGTTTGAGCCCCATATTGGGCTAGTGGCTGTCAGCACAGAATCTGCTTGGGATCTTCTGTCCCCGCTCTGCTTCTTCCCCACTTCTCTCTCTCTCAAAAATAAATAAATCCTTTAAAAATTAATAAACACAACATTTATTACCATAATAACAATTTAATGTAATATTTTCTTCCTTATCCTTATTATATGTGTGTGAGTCTGCTTGGCAGAACATAGCTTTGCCAAGTATGAAAGCATCTTGCTTCCCCTCCATCTCCAGCAGTTAGACGTGTTTCTTAAAACTCTGTAAACAGTTATAATGAAGTATAACATGCATAGAAAAAAGTACATAATTTAGAAAAAAACTACATAGAAAAAAGCACAGTCAGTTAAGCGTCCGACGTTGGCTCAGGTCATGATCTCATGCTTTGTGAGTTTAAGACCCAAGTAAGACTTTTTCCTGACAGCTTGGAGCCTGCAGCTGCTTCAGATTTTGTTTCCCCTATCTGCCCCTCCCTTTGTCTCTGTCTCTGTCTTAAAAATAAAAACATTTTTAAAAAGTGTTTAACTTACAATTTTACAGTTTGAAGAAATATTACAGAGTGAATATGACCAGGTAAATGCTACTACAAAAGGTATAACTGCAACATAACTGCAGAATTCTCTTTTACCCTCTCCTATTATAGGTATTCCATCTATCCTGCCCCAATTTAACTACTGCCTTGATGTCAAACTCCATTCTTTAGTTCTGATTTTTTTAACCTTATATATATGGGAGCATGCAATATCTACTCTTTTTTTCATGGGTTTTTTTTTCACTCAGCATCATGTTTGTAAGTTTTATTCAGTTTGTTGAATATGTATGAAGACTTTTCATTTTCATTGCTGCCTGGTGTTATTAGGTTATGGAGTATGCCTGCTTTCGGCAGGAACTGATACTACAAAATATGGCTCACACTGTGAAAGGTAGGATTTTGTTTTGTTTTCTTTGATTTTAGTTTTATCTCAGAAAGTCATGAATCCTAAAGTCAAAATGTATAAAACATTAAAAGGATATTTAAACAGTATTGGGTAGTCAAAGACCCAATGTCTATTGTAGTTATCTTACTAAATTCCAAAGTAAAAGTGCTATTTTTCATTGTAAGAATTAATTTTTCAAAGATCATGATATTGAATTATTTTTAACAAAAGTGTTTCTACTTTTATAGAAAAGAAAGGATACATACAAAAACATATATGCACACACAAGAGTAAAGCATCTTTCATTTTATATGCAATAATTCAAATAATTTATTATAAACAAAATTTTACCTTTTAATAGAAGATGAAAGATATAAGAAGATAATTGTTTTTTTAAGAAATTTTATTTGTTTATTTTTAAATGTGTATTTATTTTGAGAGAGAGAGAGAGCGAGAGCACAAACGTGTGCCCATGGTTAAGGGGCAGAAAGAAAGGGAAAGAGAATCTCAAGCAGGCTCCACACTGTCAGCACAGAGCCAATGTTGGGCTCGATCGCACAAACCATGAGATCATGACCTGAGCCGAAATCTAGAATTGAATGTTTAACCAGCCAAATGAGCCACCCAGGTGCTCCAGAGATTAAAAAGATATTTGTAATCAAGTAAAATTTTTATTTAACTTATTCAATAATCCCTTTACTAAACATAGTGTTTCCAGAGACTATCATCTTTTAAGTATAATCTAAAGGTATACTTATTAATATTGCTAATTTATTAATATTTACAAAAAATAATCTTTTTCTATTACTTGACTACATTTAATAAGTACATTGACTCTTTTCATATAAGATTTATAATCAACTAATATAATAATCTAATAAACTAACTTATTTTCTTTTTTTCAGCAGTATCCATGCTAAACCAAATAATTTATTCTGAGCAAAATTTTAAATACTAAGAATACTGATCTCAGTTTCTATAATATATGTAAGATGTCAAAGATTTTCAGAAGCAGGTGTGGTTTATCTATACAATGGAATACTACATGGCAATGAGCAAGAATGAAATCTGGCCATTTGTAGCAACATGGATGGAACTTGAGGGTATTATGCTGAGTGACATAAGTCAGGCAGAGAAGGACAGATACCATATGTTTGCACATATAGGTGGATTAGGAGGAACTTAACGGAGGACCATGGGGGAGAAGAAGGGGGGAAATGGTAGGGGAGAGGGAGGGAGGCAAACCATGAGAGATTCTTGAATGCTGAGAACAAACTGAGGGCTTATGGGGGTGGGGGAGAGGCAAAAAGGGGTGATGGACATGGAGAAGGGCAATTGTTGGGATGAGCTCTGGGTGTTATATGAAAACCAACTTGACAATAAACTATTCATTAAAAAAAGAAAAAATTTTTAAAAATAAAGTAAAAAAAAAGATTTTCAGAAGCAACTTGAGACTCTTGTCCTTCCTTTTTCCTGGAATTCTAGTCAAGAATAACATTAACATGACCAAGAAAACTCTTAGAGGAACCAGGTAAATTAAAGGCAAGGTGAGGAAGTAGAGATTGTAGCCTGGGGGACACAAGAGACTATAAAACATGTTTGACAAATACATCACTTTGTGTGTTCTAGTTATACAATAAAACCATCCTGAGTCTTTATCTTGGGATTTTAACAAAGGAACTTTTCAATGCTTCTAAAGAGTAAATCAACAAGAGTAATATTAAGTTATTTGGGGGTCTAAGCATTTGTACGGATTAGCATTTTCATGTCACCTGCAAGGTGAAATTATTGGGTAGTAAAGTATGTTATGTTTATCTTTATAGGAAACCATCAACCTATTTTCCAAAGGGGCTCTACATTTGTTCTTTCTTACCAACTCCACATCTTCACTAGTATCAATTGTTTTAATGTTAGCCTCTGGAATGGTGTGTAATGGTATGATGTAGTGATTTTCATTTTCACTTCTCTAGTGACTAATGATTTTGAGCATTTTTTATGTGTCTGTTGGCCAACTGTGTATTTCCTTTGTAACATGTAAGAGATGCAGGCATTCATTATATATTCTAGTTACAGGTCTTTTATCAAACATAAGTGTGTAGATATTTTCTTCTCATTGCAAAAGTATACTATTGTAAGGCCTTTCCTTTTGGAAACTTTTTTGTTGGTTTGGTTTGGTTTGTTTGTTTTTTCTGTCCTAATACTTTATTAGTCACCTCTAGGCCTGTGCCTAGCTAGGTGGACTCCAGGGACAGGCTCACCATTGACCAGCTACCAGCTGGGAATATGAAACAGCCTTGGTCAAATCCTCCAGGGTCACTGCCTGTGGAGTCTGAAGAGGCAGGTCTGACCTTTCCTGGGTCAGCATGGGGTATTCTGGAAGGGGAAGAGGTGCAGGCCAACATCCCACGCTTTCCAGTTTTGTGCCAGCCTGGCTGTGTTTGGAGAAGTATTCCTTGCTGTTGTCCACGTTGGGCTTGATTGTGTTGCTTCCTGGCTTCCAGCCAGCAGCACGGACATCCCCCTGCTCATCGCTGTACTGGACGGAATTATCCAAGCTCATTCCTGTGCTGGAAGGCCTGGACCAGGTGCAGGAATGTCCTCGACTGAGTGTACCACAGGCAAATCATTGACAGTGATCTGGTGAAGGACACTCCTGTCATCAGTGATAATGAGGCCTCTGTACCAATGCCTTCAATCCTCCTTCAGCACACCATAATCTTGGGACAAGCTTCTGGATACATCTGTCAGCAGAGGACTGTTCAGACGGCCCCAGATGCCTTCCTTCCTGGGCATGTTGATCCCTCCCAAGTGGATCAACTGAGAGTCGACAAAGACACCCATCACCTCACAGCCCCGCCTGCATAAATCCTCAGCATGTTTGCTGAAAGCGATGACCACGTAGTCAGAAAACTTCATTTCCTTGAAGGCATCATCCACCATGGCGGTGGCCTGGAAATTCAGGGCAGGCTTTTCTCTGTGTTGCCAGAGGTCAGCACTGAAAGCCCCGTGGGCAAAAACAAGGACACACACACTGGAAGACGCACAAACATGCCTTCTCAGAGCCCCCTTCTTGGAATTATTTTAATGCTATTACAGTTTCTACTTTCTTTATAGACATTATTTAAAATAGTTTAAATTTAAACTTAAACCTAAATTCCAAATCAATTACTATGTGTGTGTAAAAATGACTGTCTTTTTAGATAATTTAATTAGTTTTGTGTTGTATGCTATTAAAATCCACTGTGTTGAGATTTTTAACTGATACATACATACATACATACATACATACATACATACACAAGGTTATTCTCAGCTACTTTGTTGCAAACCTGAATTTATCTCTAGACATGCCTGAACCATGATGCTGATTCATGGCCAATAGAAGATGACAGGTGCTGCTTTGTGATTAAAATAGTTCTGTAGCCAAGTTTGAAACATATCACGAGCCAGGCTGTATCTAACTTATATATACACACATATATGTAATATATTTATATAATTTTACATATTAATATAATACACATGTATGTATTATATCTGTAATATAAATTTCAATCTTAAAGTATCCATTATCTTTTAGTTGTTTGAGCTAACTTTTAGTTTTAGATTTTGTGTTATTGAGCCAGATCATGTAGCCAAGTTTGGACTGTAAAACCAGATAGCATACAAAATACCCATTCTCAGATGAGACTGTAGCTTCTGAGGCCCTGATATCTATCTTGGTGGTTTACGGCCCATAGATAAAGTGTGTTCTGTGCCAATGAGGTGACAATTTGAAAGCTGTTTTTGAATGTCTCACTCTTGCCTGATAATTGCCTGTGCTTTTCTCCTCCTAGAACAAATATCCTTCAGATTGATGTATAGTCTGAGAGTGTTTAAATCCCTCCAATAATACAAAAAGGTGTAATTATTATACCTGGCATAGCCTATTGCCATATTTTTGTGTATTTGGTGCATAATATTTGTTGAACAAGACAATTCCAAATGAGGTTGGTATGAAATTGAAACTTAGGTTATACTTGATAACAGATTTCTAATCAGAGAAAATTATTAAATATGCCATTTTATATGGTTTTTCTCATTTGTTTTGCAGGTCTAATAATATTCTATGAAAATAAATGTTAAAAGTATTTTAATCCTACATATTTTACTTTGATTTTAAATATTGATTATATCAAGAATACATATTTATAAATATGAACAACAGTTAAATGATAGTCAATTAATAATCTTTTTGATAATTTTCTAGAAGTTGTGTGTTTTTGTTTTTGTTTTCTAGAGAGAGAGAGAGAGTGTGAGCAAGGGAGAAGAGTAGAGGGAGAGAGAATCTCAAGCAGGCACCATGCTCAGCATGAAGCCCAATCAAGGACTCAGTCCCACGATCCTGGGAACAAGACCTGAGCCAAAATGAAGAGTCAACACTGACTGAGCCACCCAGGCACCCATAGTACAGGTATTTTTTTTAAGAAAAATAATACATTTATTCAGAAATCAAATGTATCATGGCTTCCATCTTCACATGATTGCTGTTTTTCCTCTCATTCCATTCACCTCTTTCCCTTAATTTTACTGTGTTTGCAAACTAAATATTCTGAACTAGTTACCGTTCAGAAAAAACAAACAAAGGAAATCACCTTAGAAGTTAGTTTAATTAAAAAGATTTAGAGTGTTTAGGGTCCCAAATTTATCAACCATTGTCCACAGAATATAGTAGGTGAGTGGATTTTGAAGACCTGAAGTCTGTGCTTGAACCCAGTCTGCAGGTGGTGACAAGTTCTGTGACTTTGAACAAATTATCAAACCATCTAAATCCAGTGTTCTCAATTATAAGATGGTAATAATTTTATTTTAGAGGATTAGATGATATAATATATATATATTGCTTTGTTATTTTCTGGTGCACAGTAAACAATTACAAAGTATTAGCTATTTTTTTATTATACTAATTTTCCAGGCCTCACTGTGCTTTCTGGAAAAATAAAATTCTGTTCTAAGACTCTTTTCTTGCCTATCTCATTATTTATTCTTTTGTCCAAATTTTTCACTGTTCATTTTTTAAGTTTGATTATTTATTTTGCAAGAGAGAGAGTGAGAGAGAAAATATGTGTGCAGGTGGGGGAAAGGCAGAGAGAGAAGGAGAGGGAGAGAATCCCAAGCAGGCTCCATACTGTCAGCACAAAGCACAACACTGGGCTCACTCCCATGAACTGTGAGATCATGACTTGAGCCGAGATCAAGAGTTGGTCACTTAACCAAATGAGCTGTCCAGCAATCCCAATTTTTCACCATTCTTAATAGAATGACTTCTATGCATGTATATTATCTTATACTCGATTCTGAATAAGCTAATTGTTAAATTCTGAGGTCTTTCCCTTTCTTTCTAACTAACATTTGTAGGCTGTTATTGAAAATAATCATGCCTTTTATTGTTTTCTTTAGGGCATTGCTATTATCCATTTTGCTGCGGCTTTTCTAACTAGACACCTAGGGCCAGCATAACTTGCAATTGGGCTTTAATTTTGTTGTGTGCAATTGAACCAAAACAATAGGCTACCAATATCATAGAGCAGAGGCTATTTTTATTTTCTTCTATTCCCCAATATTTATCAGTATCCTAACACAGTGCTTGGAACATAGTAACTGTAAAATACTTGTTAAACATATGGATGAAACTAGCATACCTAGAACACTAATTTTGAGAGGATCTGTAAAAAAAATGTTTCTGGTTTTTCAAAGTTATTCTTTTAGGCTTCTTTGAATATATTATAGAAACTTTTATAGATATAGATATAGGTAAATTTGCCAATGTAAATTACCTAATCAATTTGAATAAATATTTTAATTTTTAAAAATATACAATGAAATACTGTTAATAATTTGAAGTTGATATTAACTTAGTTATTTACTGTGTGCAGTGAACTATCTTGTTTTACTTAATTAGTTCACATAATACTTAAAATGATATCATGATCCAGTTTATATTAAGCTCATTTTACAACAATGCATAGTTGTTTATCAAAGTTTATACGGTTAGAACTGTGATTTAAACTTAATTTCCTATGACTTCAAATTGCTCAAAACCTTAGTCACTTTACTACAGATTTCTTTAATTGCTTCTAAAAATGAATTCATTTGGATCATCTCATCCAAATATTTTGAATCTGTACACACTCATCAATAGCTAGAAAAAAAAGGTATTTTTGCTAAAGCTGCATTGTTATTTTTTTAAATACATTATTATTTTTAATATGAAGGTAAATGTCCTTTTAGTCTGTAGGTTTTTGTTGGTCTTAGTTTTTGTGACATTGTTTTTAATCAAAGAAAAAATATCTTTTGTACCAAAGTGGAAAGCATAGCAGTATTTAGTGAATTATAAATGCTAGGATGATGCATTTCTTTCTTACTTTTTTTTAAACCACTTATTATTTTTTAATATTTTATTTATTTCTGAGAGAGAGAGAGCATGAGCAGGGGAGGGTCAGAGAGAGAGGGAGACATAATCTGAAGCAGGCTCCAGCTCTGAGCTAGCTGTCAGCGCAGAGCCTGACATGAGGCTCGAACTTATGAACTGTGAGATAATGACCTCAGTCAAACTTGGACGCTAAGCCAGCTGAGCCACCCAGGAGCCCCTCTTTCTTACTTTTTAAACCAGAACATAGTATTTATAAATATTAAAGTACATAATTATTTTGCAGCACTATTTAATAGGAGTTTCTCTTTACTGACCCAGATTATTTTAGAGAACTTTTCATTTATCTTTAAAAAAAATTTCATCTTGACCTAAATGGGACAGAACATTTTACATAGCACAGTGCCCTGCTTCCATTATTAGAGTGGCAATATACCAAACTCCACATCAGAGAAGCTAAATGCATTTTTAAACCAGGAAGCAAGCTGGATTTCCATTAGTAATTATAAAAATGATGACCAACTTGAATGAGGAAAGTAAAAGGTGGATCTCTATCATATTTTCTGATTCTCTCATAATTTAAAGCAACTGTACATTAATTTTACATAATTTTTCCATTTCTCATACCTAACCTTTGTCTCAGTTTACTAGTCTCTTAAAGCAATAATAATAATGTCATCCAGTGTTGTAAGAAACGTACTAAGTGCTTCAGTAGTAGCAGCCATGGTAATAATAGCAGAAATAGGAGCAGTGGTGGGCAGTACTGGTAGTTATTCAGCAGGAAAGGAAACAAAGTACTTTATATCCAATGCTCAGGGAGTGGCACTTAAAAATATTTACAAAACAATCTTTGTGGTGTTGCATCACAATGGAGTATAGGGTTTGGGAAGGAGGGAGTCCTTTCTCACCCAGTTTTTTGCCTTTAATGTAGGGAACTTTGGGAAGAGAGGGAGTTTCTTGCACTAAAAATAAGTCTTCCTTTAAAAAATGTGTGCTGCATAAATAGCGTAAGAGGATTCACTGGGCTTCTTCGGAGCTGTTATGAATATTCTTGAGGTTCATTAGGCTCCCAACATGCTGTTAAAGTGCTGTAGAACCCAGAGACTGTGGTGCTTACTTGGCTCAAAGCGCAGGTGTAGAAGAACCACTCAATTTTCTCATGAAGTGAAAAAAAACTGCTCAGACTCAACAGTCTGATTATGAGCTTAAAAAAAAAAAAAAAAGGAAAAAAGGAAAAGAAACTACCACATCCTAAGAAGATATTACTTTAATTTTATTTGACCCTATTGTTACAAGTTTTGTAAATTGTAAGCTGGAAGCAAAACTATCCTTGGAACAATATCCTAGACATTCTACACTTGTAATACATGGCAAATATGTTTTAGTTTGACTCTTCTTAAGTGAGAGTCAATAGATCAGAAATTTAAAGTGAGAGATTGAATAAAGATTAAATAATTTTTAGCCTATAAGTATAAAAGTTTAGGAACTAAAGATGTCATGGCTAGATGATATATAGTATACAATATAGGACTCGAGACTTGCTACTCGAGACCAGACTCTTATCAGCTCAGTAAAATAAAGAAAAAGAAAAAAAGAAAACTGTGTGGGACATTACTTGGCAAAAAGTACTTGCTTTTCTTTTTATTTGCCTTTCAGAAATTTAAAGTTAGTTTTCAATGACATATGCTTTTAGGAAAAGAATTTTAGTTTAGATCACAATGGTACTCACAGAACATTCTTTTAATCCTGGTAAAATCACGGTATTCTTTTTTTGGAGGAAATACTGAGGGTCATGTAGTCCAATTCACCCCAGGGCTAGCTTCTCTTCTACATCCCCAAGGAATTGTTAGTCAGCTACTATGTGACAACTTACATACTGCCCTACCTTATATCATAGCATATTCCATAGTTATTCTTTTTAGAAAATAAAATTAAGAAAGGAACAATGTTGGGTCATAAGATAGCTCTATTGTTAATTTTTTGAGGAACCTCCACACTGTTTTCCACAGTAGTTGCACCAGTTTGCATTCCCACCAACAGCGTAAGAGGGTTCCCCTGTCTCCACATCCTCGCCAACATCTGTTGTTGTCTGAGTTCTTAATTTTAGCTATTCTGACCAGGGTAAGGTGGTATCTCAGTGTGGTTTTGATTTGTATTTCCCTAATCATGAGTGATGTTGAACATCTTCTCTGTTGGAGATGTGTCTGTTGGCCATCTGGATGTCTTCTTTGGAAAAGTGTCTATTCATGTCTTCTGCTCATTTCTTCCCTGGATTATTTGTTTTTTGGGTGTTGAGTTTAATAAGTTCTTTATAGATTTTGAATACTAACTCTTTATCTGGTATGTCATTTGCAAATATCTTCTCCCATTCCATTGGTTGCCTTTTAGTTTTGTTGATTTTGTTTTCCCTTCACTATGCAGAGCTTTTTACCTTAATGAAGTCCCAACAGTTCGTTTTGGCTTTTGTTTCCCTTGCATCCAGAGACATGTCTAATAAGTTGGTGTGGCTGAGGTCAGAGAGATTGGTGCCTATTTTCTCCTGTAGGATTTTGATGGTTTCCTACCCTCTGACCAAGCAATTGCACTGCCAGCTATATTTCCAAAAGATACAAAAATGCTGATTTGAAGGAGCACATGCACCCCAAGGTTTATAGCAGCACTATCAATAATAACCAAATTACTGGAAGAGCCCAATGTCTACCAACTGATGAATGGATAAAGATGTAGTACATATATACAATGAACTATTACTCAGTGATCAAAAACAATGAAGTCTCGCCATTTGCAACAATGTGGATGGAACTACAGTGTATTATGCTAAGTGAAAGAGTCAGTCAGAGAAAGACAAATATACGATTTCACTCATATGTAGAATTTAAGAAACACAACAAATGACCATACGGAAAGGAAAGGAAAAATAAGATAAAAACAGAGAGGAAGGCAAACCATAAGAGACTCTTTAATGCAGAGAATGAACTAAAGGTTGCTGGAGGAGAAGTGGGTGTGGGGATGGGCTAAATGAGAGATGGGCATTAAGGAGGGCACTCATTGTCATTGTGATAAGCACTGGGTGTTATATGTAAGTAATGAATCATTAAATTCTACCCTTGAAACCAATACTATACTGTATATAAACTAAACTGAATTTTTTAAAAGGTAAAAAATAAGGAACAATGCAAGAATGTATAACAATGTTAATAATTGACCATAATATATTTCAACTTTCATCACACCATCTTGATGCAAACAACTACATCTATCTTTCCATTTATGTCATTTTTGCTTTATAACTTTTAATAAAATTTCATAATTTTCTTATATATATACCCTGTGCTTTTTGATTGAATCTATTTCTGTTTAGGGTTTGTTTTGTTTTTTACTAGCTACGAACAAGGTTTTTGTTTTTTTTTTAATTTCTACTAGCAATAAAAATAAGCATTTCCTTTATTTTAAATGTTCATAATATATTTTCACAATCCAGTTTAGCAGTCATCTATCAGGAACCTTGAATATGTCAATGTTGTCTGTCTGGATGCAGCGTTTGTATTTCACCTAGCATGTGGAAAATAAATGTACTCACTCCACAAATAAATTATTTTAAGTAACTCTGAAATATAAGGCACTGTGCTAGACAATAGCAAGGATAAAAAGAAATAACAGATATGTTTACTCATTCTAGGAGTAATTTGCTACTAGTGGGATTAAAAAATACAGAAAACAGTAGAAAAATAAGCTAAAAAAATATGCTACAGACCACATGGCTGGAACAGCTACTTTATAATATAAAATTTGGGAAATTTGGGGACTTGAATTTGGGAGTTGAATCAGCAACAAAAATATATTATGTATCTAACATGTATTAAGATTGAAATACAGGGGCGCCTGGGTGGCTCAGTTGGTTGAACATCCCACTTCAGCTCAGGTCAGGATCTCAAGGTTCGTGGGTTTGAGCTCCACGTTGGGGTCTGTGCTGACAGCTCAGAGCCTGGAGCCTATCTTCAGATTCTGTGTCTCCCTCTTTCTCTGACCTTCCCCTACTCATGCTCTCTCTCTCTCCCTCTCTCTCAAAAATAAATAAAACATTAAAAAAATTTTAAATAAATTTCTTAAAAATAAGATTGAAATACATTTATATCTCTGAGTCTAACAATAACCTGCTAAATAGATATCACTACTTATAAACCTAGAAACTTAGGTTGCCTGGGCAACATAACCTCATGGCCAGATTGTGATTCGGGTTTCATAAAGTAATGTAGGAAAGTTTCATGGTGAAATTAACCTTACCTAATAAACAGGAGTAAGGTATATACAGAGAGAATTTCAGAGCATATTATTTTACTTGCGAATAAAATATTTTCTGATGAATCATTTAATTATTTACTAATATAATCATAATTTTACTGAATCTTTCATATATATGTTACACATATATGTTCATTATATATGTGTACATTTTATATATGTGTATATATAAATATATATATAATGTGTATATATATATATGTATATATATAAAATGGTTCTAATTCTGCTAAAGGTTGATCCTGTAAATGGGAGGTGAAGGGTGGGAGCAGAAATAGTCTATAAGATTGTCATTCCCAAGGGCTTGTCTTATTCATCTTCAAATACCTTAATCCTGTCAAGGGGCATTCTTATTAATTATTTGCTGATTAAATGCCTGAACTCACATGACTAAGTGAGACAGATACAGAAACAAATTTAATAGGATGTTAGGGGCAGAATGTGCAGGTTGTAGTGCGGTCACAAAGGAAGAATTATATAATTTGAAGAGTTTAGTAAAGGTAAAAAATGAGTTGAATGTTGATGGATGAGTAGTTGCTGGCCAGTAAATAAAGTCATTTTGGACATTAAGAATAATCCTGCAAAGGTGCCTGAGCCATTAAAGAAGGTGGTGCCCTACAGAACTGCAGATATTTTGATAAGGTTGGATTAGAAAACTCTGGAGTAAAGTAAAGAAAGCCCAGCTGGGCACTGGGAGTATCCCCATCACAGAAGCCCTGGTATAATGTACAAAGAAGCTTGGGCTTCATCCTCTAGGGAACTATAATCCAATGAAGATTTTTCAGCAAGGGGGTAATATGGTAATCTTGCATTTTAGAAAAAGCACTCTGGCAACCATGGAAAAAGTAAATGGAGAAAAGCAAGTTAGGAGGCAGAGGGACAATCTTGGAGAATATGACAATACTTGAGAAAAGAACAAAATGGGAGTCTGAACTAAGGCATCAGCTGTGGAGCTGAAAGTGAAACCATGAACAAAAGGTGACGCTTGTAGCAACAGGGATAAAAGCATACTAAAAGTGAAAAGCTAGATCCCAAGTTTATTTCCTAACTGATTGAGGTGGAGTAAGTATAATCAGTAAAAGAAAAAGAGAGTAGGGAGCTATGTATGGCATTTTTATTGGCGTTGTCAAGGAAGCATTAGGTTACAGAGGACAAAAACTTTTGAAGATGCAATGGGCAAAGTAAATAATCTTTAAAACCTCCTCAAAAAGGTGGTATTTGAAACATGGAGGAAAACAAGTAAAAAAAGTGAAGAGTGCATTAGAACAGGACAAGGAAAGGTCTTAGGGGAGAATAGGGAGTACAGTAATACATAAAAGAAGGAAGCAAAGAAAGAACGTCCACTGAGTGAGACTGAAAATTAATAATAAGAGAGAAAGTAGGAGATAAGGAAGAATATGCTGTACTGGAAGCCAAACAACGG